TACCCTTATGAACCATCCCTTCCTTGCTTGCATCCCCCCAGATGTATTAATCCCCCTTCAATTTCCCCTCCCATTGCATGGAGCCTTTCAAACGCAAAGGAAGAGCCAACAGTAATACCGAATGTTTGCATGGCGCATACGTACCCACAGCAGAGAGAGCTAGCTTTGAACCCTAGGAACACGGAGGGGGGTTAAGAACGTTCTAAAGTCGTTCTTAGCCCAGCCAAATTGATAAAAAAAATTGAATAATCATTAGAATGTTCTTATACTGTTCTAAGGGTGTCATTTGGGTGTACCTTCTACATGTCCTTTGGTGTCCCTTTGGTGTCTCTTTCCTGTCTTTTGGGTGTCCCTTGGGTGTCCTTTGGTGCCCTTGGGTATCCCTCCTGTGTTCCTTGGGTGTCCCTTGGGTGTCTCTTCCATGTCCCTTTGGTGTCCCTTCCATGTGTCCCTTTGGTGTCCCTCGGGTGTCCCTCGGGTGTCCTTTGGTGCCCCTTGGGCATCCCTTTGGTGTTCCTTGGGTGTCCCTTCCACGTGTCCTTAGGTGTCCTCTTTGGTGTCTCTTCCATGTCCCTTTGGTGTCTCTTCCCCTGTCTTTTGGGTGTCTCTTGGGTGTCCCTTGGGTGTCTCTTCCATGTCCCTTGGGTGTCCCTTCCGTGTGTCCCTTTGGTGTCCCTTTGGTGCCCTTGGGTATCCCTCCCGTGCCCCTTGGGTGTCGCTTTGATGTCCCTTGCGAGGGACACCCAATTGGGTGTCCCATCCATGTCCCCTTGGTGTCTCTTCCCTGTTATTTGGGTGTCCCTTGGGTGTCCCTTGAGTGCCAGTGACCGAATTCACCAAAACCTCCATTGACAGCTGCACCTGGCTAATTATGGTGTAGCCATCGATGTAGCCATAGATATCTATAAACTCGCTAATCCATCTAACAGGTCTAAACCTGTTAGATCTCGCATTGTTAGATCTAAGGTCTAGACCCAGACACATGTTGATGGTTTTCATGAAATTTCATGGTATGTTCACTGTTTTGCAATCACTGTGATATATTACCTATCCGGGAACTATAAGAGCTCCATCAGGCATTCATTACAGAATGGTTTCATGGCTGATGCATACTTATATGACATACTTACATAAAACCGCTCAATCCCAGTGGAAGAATGTTTAAGAATGCACACCCGCCGCCCCCGTGTTTTTCAGACATTCTTATCGTTCTTAAGCATTCTCCTAAGTTTCTTAACCCCCCTCCGTGTTCGTAGGGGAAGTCACCAAAACCTTGCTCAAGAATAATGCATAATAACCTCCACATTAGAAGTTTAAACCCAAAATATCAAATCCTTCACCCTCACAATCAGATTGGCTGCAGCAAAATAGTACGAATATCATAAGCTATCAAAGGTTGATCACAGTAACGGTATGGTCCTGAAATTACTAACCTTACAAGGTTAATCAATTACAAACAGTATTTGTTAACTGTTCAAACTCAGTTTCTATCAGGCTATCACAATGTAGCATACAATCTTCACAGTACAGCAAGACTCCAGGAATGTAGATGGCAGCAGGTGGGCCACGTTTAAGCCACCCTGGTGAAGTGCTTAGGTCAGACACTTTTGTAACACTATACTAGTGTTCAGGGTCCAAGACCTTGCTGTCACAATTCGAGCAGCAAGGTCTTGGAACTCCGCTTTCATGTATCTCTTTGCGTTCTTATGTTTAAACTGCCCTTCATGGTCGAGACCCTCCCTTTACTCGGCCTCACGGCCCAACGCTTAGGCTGATAGCCTTAAGGTAAGGGATGGCTATTATAACTACAGTCGACGTCGGTAATTGCTCAAGAAATAAATGTGCTTTCTCCAGGAGAACCGCACGCAGGTGCAACTCAGCGGCAAATTCACCCAGAACGGATGCCCATACCCTCTTTTGACGCACATCGTCGTCAAAAGAGGGAGGAGGTGGCGTATCAGACGGTGAAGGTGGCGGTTCCGCAGGAGGTTCAACAGTCAATCAGCACAACATGGAACCGCTGAGAGTAATCAGGAAAACACAGCATTATGTAATTCGCAACGGCACGTTTAACGGCATCAAAGCAGTCTGACATTCAGCAGTCCAAGCGCACCCTTACGCGTTACACCCGTTAATGGCGCAGCAAGGGACGAGTAATTGTCAATAAACTTATGAAAGTAATTGATAAGACTCAGGAACTTTCGTACCGTAGTGCTACTTATAGTTCGTGATCGCTTTGTTCGGGGAGGGGTCAAAAAACTTTCTGAAATTTGTACGTCCTCTTTGAATTTCGGGGAAGGCCGGACCAGATTTTGCGGGCATGATACAAATTTCGGGGCCCCTTCCAAAGTTTCGGGGCTTTTCAAACTGCAGCTTCCAGTCAGTCTCCCTCCACCGGGAACCCTTAGGCTCATGGTCTCTCACCATTTTCGCACCTTGAAAACGCCCTAGCAAATTCTGGACCGATCGTACAGTAGAGTACCAGTGGCAACGACCTAATAACCAACCGGCCGGGCCAATACAGTGTTTGGGTGGTTGCTACTGAAACGTGTCTTCATGTGGTTGAAACCCCGACGTAAAAGGCATTACGACGCAGCTGGATGCAACTGGTGCAAATCCAGCTCGGTCGCTCACCGGAGCGTTTGGTGCTAGCGGTTTCATCCCGCATTGAAGCAGGGTTGCCTGTCTTGCACGTTTTCCAGCGTTGTTCATGTCCTACGTTTATGACTATATTTTATGTATTTAAGAGCTGATTTCCGCCTTGAAATCCTAGTTTTTGCGAAGTTTGATCGACCGGCTTCGGAGGGTACGATATTTCGGGGCTGCGGTCCCTTGGGATACCTTAGAATTTGTACGTGCTACATATTCGTGGTGCCTCCCGAATTATTGTAGCACGAACTATAAGTAGCACTACGGTAGTAGATTCCGGAAGTTGGGACAGGCCAGTCACGCACCGCAGCAGTCTTCTTAAAATCCATGCGAACCTTCTTAAAGGAAACCACTTGGGCTGCTTGGCGTAAAGCTGTTCCTGGCGCAAAACGTCGAGCACCGTTGAAGATGCTCTTCCTTCGTTCGGACGAATCATGCCTTAGCGAGCAAATCATTAATGTTTTGAAGAGCCGCCGCGAGCGCTCCAACACTGTAGGACTCGGACAAACGAGTTTATGTGCGGAAGATCTAGTAGAGATTGAACGTCTCGATACGACTCTGTTGTATCACCTCCATAGTTTTTGTGGTAGTGAAAATACCAATTAGTAAACGAAGAGAGACTAAATGGTTAGCGTCTTGCGACTAAATGCCTCAGCAAACATGACGACTTGTACAGCAATCTGTACAACCTGGGAAGAGAGTTGCAAAGAACCACCAATCGAGGCAATCGTAACTCAAGCAGGTCTAACAATGACAAGTGTCACGATTATAACAAGAGCACCATAATCCAGATTCCTGCAACAGGTTAACCAAAGATAGACATGCCTAGTGGCGAAGTGCCAGAGTCTAAGGTAAATTTGCAAGTATGCCACAACACTTTACAGCCTTAAAACTTTGTATAACCCTCATGGTGCTTTGGGCCCCTGCTCTCCACACACCGCCAGGGAGACGCTTGCCAGCTGGCTGATAGTTCACAGCTGTTCAAAGCACCGCATTGCTGCAGATGGGTAGGCCCCGACCCGTGAGCTCTATTGAGCAGCAGGGATGGAGCTTTACCAGGACCTGGAGCACCAAAACCATGGGGGCATTGTCTGGCAGGGCTGGTCCACAGGTAGAAAAGCTGCATCACGGTGGCCACCACCGTGGCAGTTATTGGGACCCAGGTGGCGGCGTTGAATGGCGCCAATGTTGTACATTCCCGGGATATGAGTGACATGGACAGCAAGGTGGAGGTGAAAAAAGATGAGGGGAGATAACCAACACCAGTCACAACAGCAACCACAACAGCAACATGGACAGCAACCATAACCACAACAGCAACCAGCATTGATGCTTCACCAGCCGCGGCAGACTCTGAAATGGTGGTCGTGGCAGTTAAGCCCGGAGGCAACAACACCAACAAGGGGCACCCTGCCACTGTGGATGGTGAAGATGACGACAGGACAACAGCCATATCGATGCTGCTGGGGCCAGAGACTGACCGACCTGCTGACATTGCGGCCACCACCCCGCCCACCACTGCCCCTACCATTGCTCTGGGGTTGGGAACCCCACAAGCACCGCAAAAAGGCAGTTAGGTGGGAGGCGTGGCACTCAAGTTCTAGCCATCCCGCATTGCATTTGGCAAGTCAGGCATCCATGGCTGGGGAATATTGGCCCGTACAGATATTCCGCAGTTTTCAGGGGTGTGCAGGGGTTGTGTGGTGGGGCCTGTAGAGGTGGGGTTTATGGGTTGAGTCTCCCGGACCTTTGAGGTCTGGAACCTGGGACTGGATGGTAGTCGGAAGGGGGGGGGAGAGGGAGGGAGGGGGTGTATGAGATACATACACCCCCGAATACATACACCTACAGAAGCTACACTGGATTGCACCTCACCCCACCCTGTCATACCCCATGTCTTGCTGCCCAAACGTACCTGTCCACCTAGACCTCTCTGGGGTTGAAACACCTCCACCCTCACTGCCACCTACTCCCCTCACCCCCACCCCCCACCCACCCATGTACATGCACGTGGATGTGCCTCTCAGGATGCCATTGTCACGGAGTTCCGTGGAAAGGTGGTGCAACCCGGAGAGGCGGGTTTGATGGAGGTACATAGGCGCAGGGTAAGACACAAGTGGTAAAAAGGCGGTGCACCCTCAAGCAGCATCTCGTGGCTTCTCATGGCCCTGCCACTGGTGGTGGTGGTGTGGTGAGTGCTTTTTAGCCTCACTATCCCCCACTACCTCTTTCAGACCCCATTGGGCCCCCTAGGGTTGTACCCACCCCATCCTCGTCTCCCCTTCCTCTCTTCCGCCCAAACCCTCGAACTACACATCCATTCAATGCCCCCTCCCCCCGCCCCCTTGGCATCATCTTCACTCGCTCGTGGTTCGTCTTCCCCCTCCCCCCACCTCCTCAACCCCCCTCCCACACACACCATGAGACATGCGCTTCTTTTTCGACCAACTGCCTCTCCTCCCTTTGGTTTTTCTTATGGGTTCTTTCCACCCCAGTTTTTCCATTTCTAGCTTCTTTGTGTTCCTGCCAGCATACACATTGTCCATTGCATCATCACCTTGTCAATTCCGTCATCCAGTACGACACCACCTGCATCATCCTGCACCGTCGTTATATTTCTGTTTCGTTTTCACTCCCTACGTCATCTTCCGCTTTCACATAGGTTTTTTAGGGCTTCACCAGTCTGCCAGCTTTATACTGGTCCTTTCAGTGACACTCACATGCTTCTTTTCTTCATCACGCGCTGCTCACAACCTTGCAAAAACTCAGCCTCGCATGTGCCTTTGCCCGCCGCCATTCTGCTGCCTGGCCAGGTGATTTCGAGGAGGTTCAAGCTTTGCCGGTGTATCACGTTGTGTCAGTCGGCTGGCCGGGCTAGGATAATTGGGTCGGTCGGGTCAGGTGTGTGTTTGGGGGTTGGGAGGAGCTCTTGCATGTCACCAGCTTTTTATTACCAGCTGTTGTATCCTGTAAAGGTTTTCTGCAACGGTTTGGGCTCCGAATCCTGATTGTCGGTGGTTAGCTCGTTGTAACACCAGGCAAAGAGTACTCAGTTGGGAGATGCTAGGGGAGCTGATCCCTCTTACATTCCTCCCCCCCTCGAGTGAACATCCTCGGGCCCCGAAAATCCTACAGGCATATCCCGTAGGATTTTAGGTTGTTTGAGATCCCGTAGGATTGTTAGTTTGTTTGGTTGTTGACATTTCGTCAGTCCCCGTCCGAGATGGAGGACTTTTGATTTTACTCAGCTGGTAGACCTCTCGCCCACCCGGGCATCCACCTTGGGGGTAAGAGAATGCTGCATCTAGCCTGGTGTGTGATATGTTCGCAACCGGATTCGATCCGGGGAGTTCCCACCTCCTAGCAATTCGCACCAATTTAACACCAGGCAAATAGTACTCATGACAACTGATCAGTTGGGAGATGCTAGGGGAGCTGATCCCTCTTACACTCGTCCGGTCCGATTTACCTAACATCACTGTTACTAACTGATACCCGTCAATCCCACTGTCGATGATTACAGGTTTAACTAATACTGCTATTAGTTTACTTGCGGCTACTGTTAGCTGCAGCAGCTAAAGCTACTAGTGTTAGTCATCCACCAACTGAATGCCGCACTGCTGTGGAAGTCATTATCTGCATATGGGTGCAGGCGGCTAAAGTGACTGCTGTTAGTCGTCTGCCATTCGAGTGCCGCACTGCTGCAGAAGTCCATGTCTGCATATGGGCGTGTTGCGGCTACTGTTAGCTGCAGGCGGCTAAAGTGACTACTGTCAGTCGTCCGCCACCTTAATGCCTCACCGCTGTGGAAATCCATACCCGCGTATGGGCGGGGGTTTTACCTATGTAAAGCTGAGACCTGCATCCCTGTTTTGCCTGACCGAGCAAGAGTAGTTCCTGTGAACTATGGCTGCTGGATACCACGCCGCCCAGTTGTACTGGGGACTTATTGGCACGAGGCCCAAGTGGAGTCTCTGATGACTATTTATTCAAGACACTTGTCTCAATCGGTATCTTTCAACGCCCCCATTATATGGTTGTGTCGTCTGAACTATACAACACCAGCTTATCAGCCAGCTTTGGTCCAACCTCGTCAATGCCGCTGCCAGGCCGGTGGCAAACTACATAACAGCTCACATCATCAGTTTTTTTACTACTTTTTTCGCCACCTTTAAACCTACCGTTACGGCTTGGCTCTACTGCTTTTTCCGCTCTTATTTTACTTTTGGCGGCTAGGTAGGTTTCCACGGTCGTCATCACAACATCATCACGAGGACTGCTTCTTCACAACCGCTGACTGGTCAGTTTTGCTTCATGTACACTCTTTCCTTGGCAACAGCTTAACTCGTTCATTCTTTGGGTGCAGGTTGTGACTGCTTCCTCTTTTCACATGACATGGGGAGGTGGTTCTGGACAGCACCCATCTGGGCCACTACGGCCGCTTCACCAACCACTCTTGTAGCCCCTCCCGCTACATGAAGGTGGGGCTACAGGGGGCTGTATGGCTCGGGGTGGCAAGTGGGAGTGGGGTACGGGTGGAAGGTGGTTGATGGGGGTTTTCAGTGCGTCTGTACACCCCTCACTGTGCGCTGTGACACCCCCACACAGGTGCTGAAGTTCGAGGGGGGTGAATGCGGCTTGTGTTTTGTGTCCATACAGACATCTGTGCTGGTCAGGAACTTACAGGAACTTACATTCGACCACTGCTTCAAGGAGGAGGACCATCCCGAGGCCAAGGTGCCGTGTCGCTGTGGAGCACCTAACTGCTGGGGAACACTAAACTGATAAATTGATTATTGTACTGCGGAAAATGACTGAGATGACTCATTTGTGGTGACAGAAGTAGTGAATTGAGGATCACCGATGGCTGACGGAGGTCTGGCACCAGGGGGGCAGATAGGATGTATCGGTGGATGATATTCGAGGGAATATTGTAAAGGCTGTGGCATACTATAGGAACCAGCTGTCGAAACACCTGCATGCTTATATCGATATCGCATATTGTAGTATCCTGGGTCTGCAAAAAGACAGAAAAGAACCAATCGGTGGATGACAGATCCCGCGATACCCAGGATACTACAAAAAGACGTGATACAACACATATCGATACATACTGGACGACTATGCTGATACGAATATAATATAATACTTTTATATGCCTATAATACATAGGTAAGGCAGTACTGGTAGAGCATGCACCAATGCCCCCGGGATCCCAGGATCGAGACCTATTAGGGTCGAAAATCCTTCTGATGGTGGAAGGTGTATAGTGCCCCTAGTCCTCAACTAGGTATAGTGCCCCTAGTTGAGGACGGGTTTGGATGGTGTTACGGTGGTGACCTGGGATAAAGTTAACTTGCAGGCTGACCAGGAATGTAGTTGAGCCTCCATCAATCCGGCAGATTCCATTGGATGCCGGTGGTGGATGCAGAACCTGAGCGATCCACTGAGAAGTTGACTAGGGTGACTAGATGAGGGTGCCCTGAAATACAGGGGAAGGCAGGTTTCGCCAGGTAGCGGCCACGGGTGAAGATATGCCCCCCTGTCCCACACATCATGTAATACGCAAAACCCAAATATCAATCGTTGAGAAATATGGTTGTACTCGCCACTGCAGGCAATCTGACCCATGGGTCACAGGTACCTAAGAAGCCCAAACAGGGCCGCTACAGGTCCATGCAGAGCCATGCGATGTAGACATTCAAGTCCGTGCACTGAGTCAATAATGCCTATGGTGACTAGCCTTCCTAGCACCACCGCTGAAGGTCTTCCTGCAGTAGTTGCAAGTGGCTGATTTGTTGGTGCTGCAAGTCTTCATGCCATCCGATGTGCCCTGGCGGAGGTTGCCTTTGCCCCAAAAATGTGAACTGCCAGGGCCGCATTTGTTGGTCAAAGACGGCTTCATGAGCTTGTCATAGCCGGAGCTCGACAACGAGATCCCCTTTGCTGACAGTGGCAACCTTCAAGTTCCGCTTCTTGTCCTCTGCTGCCATGTCGTGATTACATTGCGCTGATCGGCTCGATCCTACTCTATCCCCCATTCCCCAAGGATGTCATATTTTAGTTGGACCAGTGGCCGGCCAGGACACTTAGGCTCAAAACACCGTGCAGTACAGGCCCGGCGGATTACGAAGCAGACACGTAAAGAAAGCAAGTGCACCCAACCAGAGGAGGTGATGGTGAGAACAAAAGCACAACCCAAAGTAACAACATGGTGACTAGCAGTGACTAGCCATAACAGGATTGTGACCAGAACAAATAGCATGCAACAGTACGAGACAGATCGTACGACAAAATCAGTACTCGCACTTCCATAGTCCAAGAACCAGCCTTCCCACAAACATGAGAAGCCAATATTGATACATTAATGTATCATGGAGCACAACTTGGAGGGCATCGAGGGTACCGCCAAAACAAAGGTCAGCAGTGACACCATCAAGCTGTACTTCTGTCGTGGCAACAACCTGCAGGACTCCTTTGTGGGCCTCAGCTCCCCGCGGGACACCATCTTTGAGCTGGCCGATACCAGTCATGACTTCTATGCCTCCTTTGACAACGAAGGTATGCTGAATGATATCATCACGGTTGAGAACCCTGCTGCCACTGCCAATGATGGCAACCTGAACTCATGCACCACTGCTCCCGTGACAGTCTCATGGGTATATCATGGGGGATCTCCATCCACCAATCCATACTTTTCTGAAGTCATGGTATAACATCCTGGCAAACACTCCATTACCACCACCACTGATGTCACCACCATCTGTACATGGCCGGCCGCATGGCCAGCAGCTTATGGTCCTCATCTGGTGACTGCATCATTGGTGGGGGCAGCAAGGACTTGGCAGCCATCACCAACGATGTAACTATGGATGTGAGTCGTCGCATTTTACACACCTATGGGGAGAGCACGGGGGGCCAGGGGGTGCACGGGGCCCACAGGGACATGTGAGGTAGTTACCCTGGTCTTTCCAAGTGACATGTAAACCAGGGTGTCGGAGTCTATGGAACATGATAGGAAGCGAAGTACTTGGGGTATGTTTACTTAGGGTTTTCAGTGTTTTAGGGTATCAAACGCAAAGGTGGCGAGACTGCTTCTCTCTCTCTTACACAGAAGCCCCAGCATGGACCATCAGCACATCCACACACCTCAATGGTGCCATGGCGCAACAGTCGCTCTTGTATGTATGTCCTGTGGGCTGTGTGTGTCACAATTACCAAAGCGATTGTGTGTGTTTGTGTGTGTCGGGTCAGCCGACCCAATTACCTTCGAAGTCAAGCTGTTGACGCGGCATGTGGCATCCGTGATCCATGACGGTCTTTTCCCCCCTGAAATACATTCAAACATTTGAACACTTGCTTACTTGTGTAAGCAAGTGAGGAGGCTTAGGGTTTCAGGGTTAAGGCACTTTAGGCAATATGCACAGCAGGCAAGGACGAGACGGAAGCAAAGGCTAGATGAAGCTTGCGCCGGACTGAATGATACAGGGACAAGGGAGAAGATGACTGGAAAACCATAGCCCTTAAGCCCTAAACAGAGCTGCGTGACGCAAGCCGTTATTGCCATCCTGATTGTGAGGGATCATGCACGCAGTGCCTGCACCCCTGCTGCCAACGGGAGGAATAATGAAGGATGACTTCCATGCTGAGCCGTACTTTGGTGTGGCTTCGGGTTTCCTCCTGGAAGCATAACATGAGCTGTAGTGGATGCTAAAAATTGCTCGCAAGGGACTTTGGGGGACATGACAGACAAATCGGGTATATTGTACGTTCCGTACAGTTGCAGCAGTGTAATGTCGCTTGTGGCTGGTGCCGTTAAACAACGCCACTGTTTACTTGATCATCGTTTTCACGTCTCCATCTTCAGGCCCAACCCCGGCCGGAAGGGCCTGGTGCTGATAGGGCCCCAACTGACCGAACGTAAATTATTGCTATGGATGTGTCATTGGTCGTAAGGTCATGCTTTGTACGATCCAAACCTCCCACATGTGACAGGATGCGACAGCGTATGGATGTGCTTGTGCAAATAAATCTTGTCTCCATGATCTAACCTCATCACAACCCTTACACCCTTCCACAGATATGCTGTGAGTCATGTGGCCGCTCTATGAGTCATAAAGACGTGAAAAGATGATTTAAGCATATGTCGTCGACCGTCGCTTATACATTAGGCCCTAAGCCTGGAAGGCCTTTCCAGCGGCAAGCTGCTACACAGGCCCGAACTGGACAAACTGCTGCTGAGCTGTGCAGGGTGGTTAACTCGGTAGGTTGGTGCTGTCCTTCTTGCCTGACCCCGACATGCTTGACACCTGTGTCGGTGTGGCTTATACCGCCCGTATGGAAGTGTTAAGTTGGAGGGTATAGCTTCACCCGTGGCCACTAGCCTGGCCGACCCCTCCTTCCCGGAGGTTCGGGCACCCTCACTCTTTTCCCCCATGACGACTTCTATGAAGCACGTGACTTTCGGGCCCAGCACCCATTACCAGTGGAATCTGCTGGATCAACGGTGGTGTCAACTCCATTCCTGTTCGGCTTAAGGGTCACTAAAACCGGGTCCATCTCCTTGCATCTCCTTTCATCTAGGTCAGCACGGATGGGCAGTGCTTGGCACGTGCAAACACAACCTGCCTACGGCTTTCCGTTCCCAGCCGTCGAACGCATCCGCACACACTTGGGTAGTGACTCGCTTCCCTAACGTGCCAAAACATCTACACCTGGTGAGATTCGAACTCACGCAGCTTTCGCTATGGGAAAACCCAATCTCATTGCTTGAGACCCACCCGTTAGACCACTCCGGCACAGGTGCACTCCGAATTCTACTCGGAAAGCCAAGGATGACAACAAGTGAAATAAACATATAATTAATACATGCTTCTACATGCTCGTATGTCCGTGGCCAAAAGCTGAAATGGCGCGCTTATTGGGGCCAGAGTGTGTGCCTGGATCTCTAGGACACATAGAAAGCACTGGATCCCGCTCTGCTTCGGCCATGGCTCATCCGGTCCACCGCTACTACGCGCCTACGGATGGGCTGTTTGGTGTTCTGAACACTCACACACTGCTTCACTGCGCATGATCAGTCCTCTGGCTGTGTGACACACGTCCCTCCCGTCAACATGGAAGCTCGGCTCACTACACCCTGCACCGCCCGCAATTGCTCAACACCGCAATACCTACCGTCGTGCGGCTCCTACTAGTGCCCACCAGACCCAGCCACTTACTTGGTCAGCGCTGTGCGGGGCTAACACGGCTTCCTTCTCCAGCTGACGGGGGAGATGAGGCATGTGTGGTTGACAAATAAATCCCCAAGCCCTAAACCCCTACAGTTTTGGCCTGTACTTACAACAGTACGGAAACTATTATTGCAGTAGATAGGGTGGTTTGAGGATAGATGGCTTGTATCTGCATGTCGACATGCTTGCTTGTAGCTCTCCTTGATTGATGCTCAGTATTTTCTCTCGCCAAATGCATGGCGGCAGGTTTACCTGCATGCATGTGTGTGTACCTAGACAGCAATCTGTACTATCATGGTGGAAGGGCCCTATATAGCTGTGGCTAGTTTTCTCTCGTAGGTCTGGGAGGTCAACAGGCACATCATGCTCAGAGGATGTTAATAAACTGCCTCACTCGCGACCGGCACCACAATAATGGCCATTGATGTCCACTCCCATGAGGCCCCCGGCTTTTACAGACGGCCCCACACTTGCGTGGAGCTTGTAGATTGTAACCTGGTGATCTCAACATCGGCAGATAAGCCATCTCTTAAAGGACAAAGATTTGTGATCACAAGTTTGCAGGTTCATATCCGACACGGGGCAAAGTTGATCATGGAGTGCAACGGGTTTCATTGATTCGGGTTCCACACGTTTTCGCTGCCCTGCCATTCTCCGGCACATGCGCCTCCATACGTACCTCCTTCCCTCTAAGGACGCCTGTGTGTGCTTGCTGACCTGACCGCCGCGTGTATGTATCGAAAGATGAAACCGAAACCGGTAGTACCCACCTGGTACCATCAAGGATGTGGTACGGCATGGATGCATGTGCATGCTATGTATAAAGGAAGGAGGTGCTCCCGCACATCACAATGTTTATCGTTCGGCGAATCGCAAGCTTATGCAGTTTAGGCTTTGCTGTTGGGCACTGGCGGCTAACAGAACGCGTAAGGGACGGCGTTATATACCTAGGGAGGAGCTAGTATGCCCTTGCTGCGGCACTGGTAGCCACATCGAGGATGAGAAACACATTTTGCTGGACTGCCCGGTTTACGACGGAATCAGATCTGATATGGGCTTTCCACGCTTCGAACATATGAAGGACGCTATGAAGTGGGAACCTGAACGCCTGGCAAGGATGCTGGAACGTATATGGTCTCACCGCAACTCTATCGTTCCCTTTGGTCGTTAGTATACTTCATCACTTGTTTCGCTGGAAGTGCGAGGTAGGATGGTGCTTATAGGCGATTTGGCAGCCCTTGAGCCCTCGGCTCGTACTGGGGTGGTTTGCAGGTACGGGGAACGCACCCACGACCATGTAACAACAACAACAACAACTAAAAAATAAACGGTTATGCTGGCAGCATATTCCTGACGAGGTGGCCGAGCGGTTGGGTTGCCGCTACATGCATCAGGATGGATTACCTGGTCATACTGATGACCGCTCAGGTTATCCCGTGGAAGCTGACATCACACTGGGACTCCGAGATAGGTGAAGGCCGATTACGCTCTCAACAGCCAGGGGGGTGATAATTGTAGTATCCCGCGATCTGTATCTGCCGATTGGACTTTTGTTAGTTCGTGATATAAGAGTTACATGCTCATTTAATGGGCCCTTCATTCTGTAATGAACGGTCTTCATTCTAAAATGACAGCTAACACTCTGAAATGAAGGGTTCCGATATGCGGTTAGGTCGATATGCGTGACGGAATGTGTGTGGAATGAGTGCGAAATAAAGGGACCCCTTTCCCAGAGTGAATGTGTGTGGCTGAATCCGCCAAGGTTGGTTATGCTTGCAGTTGAGATGTCACACCCCAGGGCAATGAACATGCCGGGGCCGAATTCTGTGACTGGCGTGCATTGAACTAAGTGCATTGAACTAAGTCGGTGCAGTTTCCTAAGAAATCATCGAACTGACAGCTAAGTTCCTGGGCACACAGAGCCTACCGCGACCATGTGAGGTACGGCGGATTCCGTTCAAAGTGCAGCACTTGACTCGAACGGCTTGTGAACCATAATATCATTCCCTCCGTACATGATACATGCTTGACGCTACATGGGCATTTGTTCTTTCAGTACGTAGAGAGCACCGTGCAAATCCGTTTTTAATTTAGGAGAAACAAAGCCTTCTATGTCAACTAGGCGCAGATCATCACGAGCTACTAATGCAACAAATATTATAGAACAGCAGGTCCGTCTTTGTTGGCTATGGGACGTTCAGGACAGCTGCGATGGACAGCTGCGTGGCCACTCCGAATGTAACGAACCTTCCTCGCCCCACAGAAAATTGATAAGGCACTCAGGCGTATAGCAGGGTCACATGGAGCGGAGCCTCGGCTCGAGCACGGCGTTCTGTCCGAGCAGAAATGTGCACCAGTGTGGAACCTCTTTTCGCGCTACGCCGCGCGGAGCCCTCGCATCCAACCGCGTTCAGATGAGGCTGGACCACCCATGGCTGCTGGCGGCTGGCCGCAGCGTCGACGGTGCGCATTCGATTATAAGCGCTTCGTCGCTGCACTCTTCCGTCCCGGAAGCATAACTCAATAAAGACAACCCCGTTGCACCTTTCAAACTGCAGGACTCCGATTCCCAGACCTGCCGTGGGAGAGGGCGGCGAGAATGTTGGTGATGCGGCAGGTGTCGTGGATGCTTTGGCGCCTGCAGCAGCCGCAGTAGCCGCAGAGGCAGCAGAGGCCGCCAAGAGCTGGGATGATGACGGTGCGTTCCCCCCCCCCAGCCCCCCACGGCCTCCGCTGACGGAAATACTCCAAACAGTTGGCCCTTGAATAGTGGCTCCCAGCATTGTCGTATGCCCCTTATGGAGGTCGACCCCCCGACCCACGCTTGCTCGCGCGCGGACCTCCGTCTCCTCCCCCGGCCCCCTACCCCCAACACCCCTCAGGCCATCACGTCATAGACCTGCTGCAGCCGCTACTAACTCGTGGAGTCACGGCCCCCCGGTGGGTCACTTCGTGCTGGCCTGGCCTGGCTGGCTGTGGGGTGGGGGGTGGGGGTGGCAGTCGTGCAGTAACAGCTCTTGATGTATTTCCCCCCTCCCCCTCCGGCCCCCTCCGGCCCCCTCCTCCTCCCGCCGCAGCCACCTCCAAGAGGCGCTCATGCACATGGTTCTCAATGTGGAGGCCCACAGCTCCTCCTCCCTACCACACAGGGCGTACAGGTGGTTGGGGACTTGGCCGGACTGCCGTACATGTGGTTGGGTATTGTCGTACATGTAATTATTAAGGGAGGAATAGTTCATAAGGATACACAACTCCACTCCGCGGTGGCTCTACCAGGGGGGAACGGCGAGCCGGCCTGAAAGGTGTGTGTGGGGCCAGGGGGAGCTGTTCATACGTCTGGATGTCTGTAGCGGGAACATTGCAGGGGGCCTCGCAGGGTGTTGTTGGAGGGTGTCAGCTGCCTAGCACAAACACCTCCACACACACATACCCTCCGTCGGGCCCCCTCGCCCCCCTACTCCCCTACCCCTCAGCTTGCTCATGGCGATGTTGGAGTGGCATCCGCCCGCCAAGCTGGAGGGTGCGGTGGGGCCTAGCTGAGCAGGGTGGGAGTATGTATGTATGTATGTATGTACGGGGGAGGGGAGGCCAGGAGGGCGGCCCCGGGCTGAGGAGGCTGGAGCAGAGGGGGCTGGTGGTGTCACTGATGTGGCGGTGTGTGTACTGGCCCTGTGTTTGCCCCCATTTCCTTTCCTTCCCCTTTTCATGAGTAATGCCTCTAAACTGGTTTTGTACAGCAATGTGCTGACGTGTCTACTGATTTAAGCCAATGCATGGATGTGTGTGTGTGTGTGTATTTCCCCGAACCCCCCAACCCTCCACACCAGGGGATGTGTTGATGATCAATGAGGACCTTTGGGCACCCGTCGGCTGGTGAGGGAGCGGCGGGGGGGAAGGGTGGTGTGGGTGTGTGCACGTGTTAGGGGAGGGGTGTGGAGGCCGAGATTTGAGTCGGGTGTGTATATTTGTACGGGGCAAGTGGGGGCGGCTCTGTTTACTGCAGTACGGCCGTACCTGGGAACTCCCGGGGGCCTTACCTTGCCTTACCAAACACCCCCTGGACCCCCTGCTTCTTGCATCGTACGACAATGGCCTCCTTGCCCCCATCTCCCCCCCAATGCCCCCCAGCGCCTGGCAGGCTGAGCCGCACCGCGACAAGCCCCGTCTGCAGTCCCTGCGCGAGGCGACTGGGTTGTCGGCGCTCGTGGCCTCAGCACACAACTGGGTGGTGCGGGAGGCGGAGGGGGGGGGAGGAGGAAGGATGCTGCCAGCAACAGGTATTATGTGTGTGTATGTATGTATGTATGTAGAGGGTTGGTAGGAGGGATGTTCACAACCCTAAATTAGGATGGCGGCTTGGGCCGCTGTGGCAATACCGATTTTGTGTACATGGCGTGTTACCACCACCACCACCAACCACAGCAACAACAACAACAATAACAGCAGCAACGAGGGGGTTGGTGAACCCACGAGTGAGCCAATTGCGCTCCTCCTCCCGCCCGCCCCCTCCTCGGCTATTGTCGTACAGGTGCCCCCGAGGGGGGTGATGCGGGTGAAGTTATGTTGCTCAAGTACTGGATCACAATGATGCAGGTAGGGGGGAGGGGGGGGGGAAGGGGGAGGGGGGAGGAGGGGGGAGGGGGAGGGGGGAGGGGGAGATGGTCGAACCGTCGGATTCTTTGTAGTCAGCACCACCGGGTGATGTGTTCGTGTCGCGTATCGTACATCTCCGGCCCTTCACGTGTGTGTAAGGGGGGTATCACCTGGCATCAGGCTCCCCGCAACCCCCTCACCCCTCTTACCCCCCGCCCCCTCGATTGCCTTTTTCCCTCCCTGGCCCCCGACCACATACATACATACATACCACTACCAACCCCGGTAGTTGGATCTGGATGTCCGTATGGGCCTTATGCGGCTGAGCGGGTTCCGCCAGCGGCGAACCAGCCCCTTGGAGAGCAGTTTGGTGTACCGCCTGATGCTGGTGGGGCTGGGGGGGGAGGGGTTGGTGGGCGGGTACGGCACTGGGGGCCCCAGTGGGGGGGAGGGGGGGGGAGCTATTGATCTATTGATTGTGGTGGGGCGAGGTGAAGGAGGCGGTGTTCCTATATTTACAGTATATTGGGAATATTTGGGGAGCTCTCTGCCGTACCCGGGTGTAACCCAGTTCCCCCCCTCCCCTCAATCCCCCCAGACCTACACAAACTGGGCTGACGGCAGCTCCTCGAAGCCCCTCCTAATTAGGCAACTAGCCGCCATACGGATTTGGAGCCACAGAGCGGCCGTAGCAGTGGCGGGAGGGGGAGGGGGCAGTGGCGGGGGCTCGCAGCTAGTGAGCCTGGCGGAGGTGGGAGAACTGGCGGCGGCGCTGCTCGGGATGATGTACGACGTTTACGGCGCTTTGGACCGCATGCGGTTCTATGTACGGCAGGGGACGCAGGGCCGCGAGTGAGTGGTGAGGATGAAAGGGGTTTGTCTGTTTGTCTGTCTATCTGCCGGGGTCGGGTTTTCTTCTGATTATGTAGATTGCTTGGCTGCGTCTGTCGACGTCTGTCTGTTTGTGTGTCGGCCGGTGCCGTACCTTTGTCTCCACGCGGGCTGGTCAATTGAGGGGTGGCTTCGCTTATGTTTGTCTGTCTGTATGTTTGTATGCTTAAGGGCGTCAAATTTACCCTGTACGTCGGTGGACATATCTAACATATGCACGTGTTGCCGTGGCGACGCAGTAACGACCTTGTACGGATGGATAAGGTGGTATCTGCGGCGATTCTCAAAGACCTGCCGTACAAGGACCCAGAGAACCTGCGGGTGAGCGACCACCTCCTCCGGGGGAAGGGGGTTCAGCAAATTCAACCCTCAGTCCCAGGGGTGGGTGGGTGGGGGAGGGCGACACCCCTGCCTGTGTTTTCCCCTTCCCCCTTTCCCCCCCTCTCCCCTTCCGCCCTGTACATCTGCCGCATCAGTCTTTCCTTGGCAGCAGCTTCACTCGCCCGTGGTTCGTCTTCCCCCCCTCAACCCCGGTGGGGTATGTAGGCGGTGCCGTACACCCCCTGGCCCCCTGCTTACCTAATGTGTGCCCCTGCCTGCCGAGCTCCCCACTCAGCCTCCCCCCCCTACCCCCCCCTACCCCCCTACCCGCACCCGCACCCCGACATATGCCTCCCCAGGTGCTACTGGGCTCGCTGCCCCCCGCGGCGTGCATGAGGCTGCTGGTGTACTTGTTGGCGGATGCGGCGTACAAGTGAGGGGGGTGAGGGGGAGGGGGGAAAGCAAACGTAATCCAACGTGGGAGTGGATTTGGTCGTACGTACTGGGTTGGACTATTGAAGAAGGATGGGAGAAGAAAGGGGTGGGCGTCTTACAGCCTACATACACATCGGCTCCGGAACCCACCCTTCTGCCTCCCAACCCCCGAGGGCGGTGTCCCGACACACATACGCGCTGTACGGCAGATTTCTTCGCCTCCACTCTCTCTTCCTTGCATGAGGTTTGTGCAGGTGGTCTCCTTTTCGGCACCCAGTGGCACGTCGTAACTTGTGTCGTACTCTCCTGTGTTTTATTCTTTTGCCTGCAACCTTCCTTCCCCCTTCCCCTCCCCCCTTCCCCAGGCGGCTGGAGGTGGGTGGTGATCAGCTGGCTATTGGGCTCCGGCGCGTGGCGCTGCACTACGCGGACAACGGAGTGGTGGGGGCGCCGCCGCAGGTGGGGTGGGCCCCGGGGGGTCTAGGAGCGGGTGAGGGTGTGGGTGTGGGTGTGGGTGTGGTGTGGTTGGGCAGCGCCTTGGGGGGGGAATCACCCGGCTGCACTTCGCACCTCCCTCCTCCCGAACTAACTGACGACGTACTGCTCTCCCCCTCTACACACATACATACATATATATACACACACACTCCAGGTTCGGGCCTCTGACGCGCTCCTCTACCTGTCATCTCCGGGCAACTGGCACTGGGGAGCGGGCGCCATGTCCTTCGGTCTGCCCGGCAGGGGGGGACTGACGCTGCTGGTGGCGCACCTCACAATCTCCGCGCTGCAGACGGCGGAACAGCAGGTACGGCAGGCACGTGAGGCGTCGGCGGCAGCAATGGCAGGTGTACGGCAGCGCCGCGGCGATAGCGGTGGCGGTGGCGGGGACGATATGGAAGTGGACGGTGTAGGCGGCGGCGGAGAGGCGGCGGCCGAGGAGGCGGCGGCCGAGGAGGTGGCGGCCGAGGCACTGGGGGAGGAGGAGGTGGTGCAGATGTGGGCGGGGGAGGCGCGGGAGGTGGCGAGGCTGTTCCGGCAGCTGGCGGAGAGGCTGCGGAGCGGGGGGGGCGGGGCGGGGGCGGGCGGGTCCCGGGGCGGAGGAGACGGGGCAGTGGCTGCGGCAGACTGTACGGCAACACCTATCCGGTGCGCTGAGTTGCTGGTGGCCCGTGTGGAGGCGGTGGGTGTAGCTCAGCCTCCGCCTCGCGCTGGTGGGTGTACGGGACTGCCGTTCCGGATCTGATGATGACGTGGGGGCTGCGTGGGAGGTGGAGGTGGGGACTTAGGGGGTTGAGGGGGGCTGGCGACATGACGTGGTGTTGTTGTTGTTGCGACACGGGGGAGAGTTCCTGGAGGGGGGTGGGGGTATTTCTGACATCTGGTCTCGCTATGTGTGTGTAGGAGGGAGGGTGGGGCGAGGTGGGTGGGTGGGAGTGGTGAGGTAGGCGGGTGGGAGCTCCAGTCTGTGGCTGCAGCGCTGTAGGGGGGGTTCAAGTGGTGAGCTGTATGTATCCTGTACGGTACCGTACTGCACCTCGCACTGTGCAACTGGTCCGTGTGCCGTTATGTGTTCTTCATGCTGGCGGCTGACTAGGGGGCGATGAGGGGGCTCCAACTCATGCCAGCTGCCACCGCCGTGTGTAGGGACAGAGCCACAGCATCCGTACCTTAACTCTGTACTCTGGATTGAGTGACTGGTTGACTGCCTGCTGCCCCCGGCGCCACCTGGTACTGCTTGGGGCCACCAGCCCCACCCGGCGGTTACCTCACCACTGAGGTGCACATCGCGACGACGACCCCCCGCAAGCCAACATTGTGCTGTACACCCGTTAGAGCTTCGAAGCATTTTATGTCACCGTAAGGCCCATGTAAGGCACTAGATTGATTCGCGTTGCACCTCCGCCCGAACTGCGGGAAGTGTTAAAATGTGTGGGGTTGCCCCCCCCCCTCCAACCAGCATGTGGAGGCCGATGACATGATGGGTCAGGGTGCTGGTGGCCACAGTGCTTTCGAAAGTGGCTACTGAGAAATTAATCCCCTTACCGGAGGGAGGTCACTCGGACATTTTTTGAAATACCTTTCAGTAACCGGGTGGTTGCAATAGGACATAAGAATAGGCCGCAGCCCCCACTGGGGGGAGTGACCACTGCCTGAAACTCTGGATGAAGGCTGCGATGGTTCGCGGAGTTCTGCTGAGTAGGTGCGTGGGTTAGATCTTAGTTGAGCTCGCGATAGCGCGTTGGTGGACTCCATTTCAGTGTACTCGCTAGACCGCTGGGAGCTGCTGACAAGGCCCTCGTGGTGTGAAGTGGGAGCTGTTAAGAAGCGGTGCCACGGCACCGGGGACACAAGTGTGGGTGGAGTGACGGCAACGGTCCAGGCCCACAGGAACACACTACCTGGTAATGTGGGTTACCAGGAAACTCCCTGAGAACCATACAGGGTCACTAACAAATTACCGCAGGGGGCAGAAACGATTTAAAAGCACTGGCGGCCACCGTGCGGTCTTGCACACACCTGCCGCAATTGGGTGTGCACAACAACGACGATGACAACAAAAAGCGTGTGTATTTATCCTGTGCCACCCCCGGGGTTGAGTCCTCACCGCCACCTCCGGCACCTGTGCTCTGTCCACACTGCCCTATGAGGCTGCAGACCAGGTGCCGCCCCACCCCCCTTTTTCGAAATCCCATTTCCGTGAGGGGAGGGAGCTCCACCTCCCGCCCACAACCTCCTCAACGCACATTCACCACCTCCATTACTGAGAAACATGTTCTGGTGTAACCAGACACCTCCGTCAACACAGTTTGAGGGGGAGTACCGTTTGCGTGTCACCTGCACGGCATCGTTTCCTTCCCACCAGAAGGATGACGTCATCCAACATATCATCAAAAGCTCAGCAGCGGCAGGACAAGTCCTCGCCAGCCCGCACATATAAAAGCCATCAAGTAATGAGCACCACCATCCGGTATACATGGGAGACGAAGCCATCTCTTCCCCAGCGATCCTGATCGTCATGTCCGATCCCCCTTCTCACCTCTCTCTCACACAACCGTCAAGCACCACCACCACCACCACCTTCACCTCACTGCCGCCGCATCAACCTTGACTCCTGAGGCCACCACCACCTCCACCAGCACCACCCCCAACCCCGCCCAGGGGATAACAATCGCGGAATATGCACGTGTGTATACGTACGTATGCACATATGTATGTATGTCCAAGCCCCCAAGAACACCGTAACCTCCTATGCAACAAGCAGAGCACACTTTCGATCCGCGGACGGCTCACTGTCGTAATCCATTACGGCCACTCAGGCCTAGGCCGCTAGACTCTGACAAGCAATGGTTGTGCCGGGTTCCAAAGGGGACAGCTGGTTCCGAGTCCATGGCTCCCAGCTCCGCAATATCCAGACGATAGGGACCCGAGACTAGGGTCAAATTCATACGGCGGCTATATAGCCAGGGCTGATAGGAGCAGCCACCGGTTCGAGGCCCGCAGCCCGCAGCGACAAAGAACAACGCTGTCGTCGTCGTCGTCGTTGTCACCTCTCTCACTTCCGGGCACCCTCTCGCTGTCCTCTCCATCTCCTCGGGGTCGCCTGCCAGGTCAGCCGACCGCTCCCCCCTCCGAGCGCTCACCTCTTCCGCCGCATCATGTCCTCCATGCCGCCCTCCATCTTCTCGGCGTCCAAACCCGTCTCCGCCGTGCGACTGCGGCAGCGGGCAGCGATGGAAAGTGGGGAGGGAGGTAGGGAGGGAAGACCACCACTGGTCCAGCTGACACCAATACACCACTAACCATGTATTGTGAGTTGCCGTACGGTCAACAGCGTTCCTCCTCCCCGGCATGAGCCGGTCATTCCCCCATCCGTTCCCCCACCCCGCAGTGTCCAATGACCGGGTGGGGGAATGAGCGAGCTAACCAGTACGAATGCTCGCGAGCCCGCAGGAGGGAGGGGCAGAATGCACTTCAAAAGTTGTACTGGAAAAAAACGGGAGCGTGCGAATAGAATAGAATAGAACAGGAGAGAACAACCCCCCAGCAGTCTCAGTCCCCCCTCGCTGCCGCACCGATGCAACACCAGCTCGCCACCGGCCAGCCACGCGCCCGGACCCCCAGACCTCATCAGGTCTACCCGCACAGCCACACAGGAGGACTCACATGCGCACCACCTCCGCCACGGGGTGTACGAAGATCTTGCCGTCGCCGATCTCGCCGGTGAACGCCGAGGCGGCCACTAGCCGTACAACCGCATCCACCTGAGACCTGTGTTTGGGGGCCCGGGGGATTCAGGACAGAGGGTCCGGAACAGACCCAGACCCAGACCCAGACTCTGATTCTGACCGGCAGTGTGCTCACATTTCAGCTTAGAGAGTTATCCGTCAGACATGGGTGGGTGCGGGTGGGGTTCCGATGGTACGGATCCCGGTATCCGACCCAGGCAGCTATTTGCGGTTGAGAAGACGGACCCCCTCGTTCAGACACATCCTCCGGTGCCCCCGGGGACTCCCCCCCCCCGGGGGGCCCTCCCACGCAAAGGAGGAACCGTCACACCGGCCGTTTTTCGTACTGCTACCACTTCCCCACACCAGTACATCCTCCGCCTTGCCTCATATATTAGTTCATCAAAACGCCTCACCACCTCGCCGTATGAAAGGTGCTCTCCGCGTAAAAAGCTTTTCACAAGTCCCCAAAAGTGGTTGTACTCGGAGTCCTCCTCCCTGCTCCTCCTCCTACCTCACATCACCCATCCATCCCCATATCCCCAGACATGTACGTACGTACGTACACGCGCCCACCTGCTAACAATGATGTCAAGTTTCTCCTTCTCAACCAGGTTGGAGGGGCCGAACTCGGTGCCCGCGTAACGCTCGCGGCTGCCTCCCTGCACTCCGACACCCTTGACGGTCGTATTCGTGAGTCCACGGATGCCGTACTTGGACAACGTGTCGATCACGAACGGTAGACGCCAGGGCCGGAAGATGGCCTGATGGGCAGGTTCGTGTTTGAGGGGTGGGATCGGGTGGGGAAGCGGTGAGTGCGGGGTGGTTGACAACTAACTAACTAACTAATCAGGGGAACCGTTATGTTGTATTGAGTTGGGTTTTTTATCAGAGCTGCCAGCAGCATGGCATGGCGACCAGCTACGACAGAGCTGCTACTGCTACTGGTGGTGTGGCAGGGGCTGCATGGCCTGCGGCCAAGGGGTGGTGCACTGCAGCCGATCACGGAGGAGAGCAAAAACGTGCGCTGTAAGGGCCACCATGCCCTCCGCTCCCCCCAACTCGCCGCGTGCACAAAGCAACAACCATTTCCTCACATCGCTCAGCACCATTCCAACGTCACATTACCTCGATGCGGAAGAACTTGACTCCCGGGAAGGCGCTCAGGTCGCACTGAATGGACTCGAGCTCCGCGTATGTGGCCCGCTTGGTGCCCTGAACCCCGTTATCCTCGCCTGGTGCGGCGGCAGTCGTGGTCGCGATCGTGGTGGTGGTGGTGGTACGCGAGCGAGTAATGGAGGGGTCAGGACAAACAGGACAAACACGCAATCGCTACCCCAAGGGGAAGGGGAAGAAGCAACCACTGGACAGGGCAAGGGGATATCCGCCGCTGTGTTTCCGCTAGCTGAGCTCGGAATGGACTCTGTAACGGAACCGTAGCGGCGTGTGTCGTGTTGTGCCATGTCAGGTCCCCTAGGGGCCGAGTGCACGAAGGGCCCTCGAAGGGACATCAGCTCGGGGCAACACAGGGTTGCTCATGGCATCCGCCTCCTAGCCCATCTGGTGCATTGTACAGTACGCGGCGCCTGTGAACATGCCCCCCTGATGAACCGCATGGAGGGCATGTTTTCCAACAGGGCTCGAACAGTGCGACGACGACAGGCTCCTGACTGGTTTGGAATTGTGGTTCGAGGGCGGCCTGGGTCGGGGCGTGAGCGGCCTGGGACCGCCCCCGGGAGCCCCCGACCCGACCCGACCCGACCCGCTGGCGGAAGAGGGGAACCCCGGGGGTGTGTGGTGACTGCTGGAGGGAGGCTGTTGAACCCCGTCGCCGTGACCCCTTGCGCTCAGCGCCAATCGCACCGGGGGGACCCTCTAGCGGGTCCTCGTTTCCCCCCTAGGGGTGCTCGCTCCTGGAGGACTCCCTCTATATCTTTAGGAGGTCGGGTCTGCGGGAAGTTGCCCACACTCGCCAACAAGCGATAACCCAAAGCGCATCTATGCATGTATGCATTGTATGCCTTGATAAGCAATCAATTGTACAATCCGCTACACACAGCATCACACTTGACACATACGGCAAACAAGGTCCGAAAGGCATCCTGCATCCCGCAATCCGCGCTGCAATGGGAAATACCCCCTGTGCCGCACACAACAACTTCCATGGCATAGCCAACAGACATTTCTCCTCAACAATATGCGTGTGGTCTCGTCCCGGGTTGATGGGGTGAAGCTTTTTGGAGGTTAAGAAGAGGTATATCCGGAGTCGTATCCCCTGACTGCTCCAGGACCCACACGGCGCTTCGTCACTGTACGGGCGCACCACTTACTCGCCCGAACAATGACACGTGATCGACGAGCCAAGCGTAGCTGTTGGCATCGGGCCGAGCAAGCACGCACAGATGCAATGCGGGCGGCGCGCGAAGTCCTGCGGGTTTCAAGCGATCAGCAGTGCTGCCATGCGAAAGACCTAGTGACCGAAGTGCACACACACAGCAAAGAGAATGGAGAAGATGGATACAGAAGCCCGTATCGCCGATACACGCATCGATAAGACAACAAACCTGCTGGCGACGGCAGTCGGGGTCCGCGTGAGCTGCATTTCGGAGGACGGGCGATTGAAGCGCACTAGGATAAACTTAACTAAAATGCGTTCTAGGGAATTACCACTTGCAAAGCAAGTCACAATCGCGTCGAGTTGGTGAATCGGAAAGGTGCAAGCCGACTCCTCAATCGACGTCTCGGCGACGAAGGTTCGACTAAGATGGTCACAAAATTGTCCTGACCTGGCTGATCCTTAACTTAAGTGTCAGAAGATTGTTAAGCCCCGGCCATTTCTTTCAGCACGTGATGAGGAAAGCACAGAATTGTCGTACAAAGGGTCGGTGGGTCAATACGGAGACTCTTGCTGCTCTCAGTGATTCATATCCTTTGCCGCTATTGTTGGGGGCACAAATCAGTGACTTGTTCTTATGCCCAGGGGTCGGAGTAGGACTTTCCATCTGGGTCAAGAGGCAGCCAATTCAAGAATGCATTGCGTTAGATGTTACAGATGCGCTCGATCTTCTCCTTTAGCTAGAAGTCACGGGCCGTTCCCCGTAAGGGAACGCCGACAGTTAACGACAGCAGTGTTTGCGCACACTGGAGCAGATTCGGACAAGCGAAACAAAGTCATCTACCTTTACAGCAAGCCGGATTGCCCTCTCTGCGAGGGCACCAGGGTACGTTGGCGCCGAGACCATGCACGACATGGAGAGAAGCCTAGGCACAAGCGAACCTCGTATAGTGTAGCTACTGTAGCTCACATCAAACCTTATGAAACTTGAGTTTGCTCCAGATGCGGTCCTTTCCTGGGCAGCCATTTCAGCCATGTCCCATTTGTCGATCCGTCACAGGACCGAGTGCAAGGGCTGATAGATCGTGCGCAGTTCATGCCCAGTGCACTTACAGACTTCACGCTTGAGGTATGTGGTGATGTCCCATTTCGCCAAGTGGTGGGGCCTGTGGGCGTTACGGACACCTAACGCCAGCGGTTAACACGTAAGGTCACAGGGAGGAAAGACGTTGCCAGGACAAGAGCACAGCCGGCCGACCATAGCCAGCAGTCTTAACCATCGTCCCCATGGGTCCAGAAGGGGGTAAAAGCAGCACAGAATGCCTGATTGCCCAAGGAAGGGGGGTGCAAGGGGTTTGCCACGGGCCTCCCTCCGGCTGATAGCAGTACCTCACGCTAGCCCGACGTCTGCTCCCTTTGACCAGATACGGGACATCTCGACGAATACCACTTGGGCCGCCGCCTACGACATGGAGGTACGACATAACAGGATTTTGGCTGAGTCCTGGCCTGCTCGCAGGTCCAAATCTAATGCGGGGGCCAATAAGTATGCAAAATGAACCCCATAATGTTGGAACACAAAGCCACGTGGCCCTGGCCCGGCTGACTCAATTTGCGGCGGGATCTGCATCACAAAGCTGCTACTGCTCCATACTCATATGTGTATGTGTGGTTACTTGGATGTCCAAGCTTCACGTCAAGCAGCCAAAAGATATGGATGTCACCCGGACATTTCAGCGTAGGTTGAACACTGTTGCTTCCCTGCCGCAGGTTCCCGTATTGACATCGTTAACGTCAGAAGGGAAAGAGGTGCGTTGGCCGTTTTGTGGGAGGCTAGCCAAGGTTCGTGGCAGTCCGAACTCAAGTTTTAAGCTGCCTTCCATACCCACGATCTGGGTGGGGACATTTGTGCTCGTTGGGTTACCAATCGAGCTGAGCCCCCTGCTAAGGAGCTGTGTCTGCTACGCCCACAGGTTCGCATCCCGCGGCCGCCACCTCGCCTGACGACCGAGAAGCTTCGGCAGCACATTGAAGCGAGTTTACCACAATAAGTCCAACAGAAACGTGTGAGACGTGTGCTGAATGACAGGAAGCATCCATGGTAGAACGTTTGCTCCTTTCGCATGTAAACCTTTTGTGGTTTCCACCTGGAAATATGATTTTGGTGCACAAATGGGCACAATCTGGCAATGATCATTATTTGCCCGTTAAAGGGTAGATGGTAACGTTGTAGTGTCAGGTAGGGTCACCATAATTTACCGTTATCGTTAATGTATACGACATGTGTATGGGTGTATTTCCAGTGCGGATTAAGGCCAGGGATTAACTCTCTGCCCTCCATCGATACCTGCTCAAACGGCTAAGTTGTTGGCAAACTCACCTCGTCTTTGGTTCCCTTATGGAACGAAACTATCGTACCAAGGACTTCCGTGCCCTGATCCGTGGCCTTATTCCGCACTGGAAATACACCCTATATGACAAGTTGTGGCCCACTACAAAGTCACTGATCAGTACTTGGGTATTATATTTTGTAAGGTCGCAATTTTTCCCTTGTCGCATTGTCGAACCTGCTCGGTCTCCGCTGGTTGGCGGTTGGGTTCTGTTAGTACTGACAATCTCGTGCGCAAGCAGTTCTAGAACATTTATCTGACGGATTTAAATTCTTACATTGAAAGACTCACTTGGCATAGCAGTTATTGACAAGCCAGCAGCCAGCTTAACACTCTCCCGCATCTCACGCAAATAAACAAAGTCGCATAAGACGAATAAACAAAGTCCGGCAAAGCTCAGTCTGCACACGATTCCACGCGGAAAGGTACTTTGCTTAATAAAAAAAACCGTTCGAGCAGTCAGGACTCTCACTACACTGGTCAGGTAAACAAGCCAACACTGCATATGGTCACGACACCTGCCCTCTATAAAGCAGTAATAACTAGTTCCTGTTGTAGCCAATACGGCATCACCTGCTGCTAATCATCATAAATAATATACATTACACTCTGCAGTAACGATTTGGTGCTTAGTATGCAGACGTGATGCTTAGTAACCCTTAACCAGGAAGGGATCCAGCGGCTTGCCCAGCGCGTACACAATGAAGCCGATCTCGCGCAGCTTGGCGTGGTCAAGGATGTTGCGGCCGTCAAAGATGAACGCCGGCTTCGTCATCTTGTCATACAACGCCTGCGCGGAATCATACATTGCCAGCAGGACAAATACGTGATGTCCTAATCACGCGCAGGGCGGGTAAACCCGGAGTTACGAAGAGTTGACTGGCCGGTTGAGTCCTTTAGAAAGCTTTACGCGTCTTGTCGGATACGCAGAACGTAAATTCCGAAAGAACGTATGATCATTTACGTACCAGAAACCCTTGTATTCAAGCGCACCTGGTAGTTGTAGGACTTGAACTCGTCCCACTCAGTCAGGATGCAAATGGCGTGTGCACCCTCAGCGGCGGCAGCTGAATCCGACACCACCTGCACATTCTCGAGCATGTGGCTGTGCGAACGGCTGTAGTTGGGACGATCCCACTCGAACTTGGGAGCTGACAGGTCGCGGAAGATCTGCTCTGGCGTCACCTCGGGGTCATAAACACAGACCTTGGCGCCATCGCGAATGAGGCCCTTGCATACGTCAATAGCTGGTGTCTCACGGGTGTCACCGGTGTCCTTCTTGAAAGCGAAGCCGTAGATAGCAATCTTCTTTTGAGAAACCGTGTTGAACATAGCGCTGATCACGCGCTCCACAAAGCGCTGCTTTTGGAAATCGTTCATCGACACCACTTGGTACCTGAGGAAAACGGAAATTGACGGCAAGAGTGGAGAGATTGCCAGGTTGTCCCCAATCGAACAACGCAGCAGCACCCCCAAACCTAGACCAAATCTAACAAAAACCAGCTCCCGCTGCGAAAAACAAGGCGGGCTACTTGGCAATTTCCATCCCTCACGGGTCACTGACCCCACAGCACTCACCAGTACTCGGCCACCTCTTTCAGCCCAACCGACTCGCAAACGTAGCAAAGGTTCAGGATATCCTTCTGGAAGCATGAGCCGCCGAAGCCCACGGACGCGTTCAGGAACTTGGAGCCAATGCGGCTGTCTGTGCCAATGGCGTGCGCCACCTGCTGAACATCGGCACCTGTGGCCTCGCAAAGCGCCGAAATAGCATTAATGGACGAGATGCGTTGTGCCAGGAAGGCGTTGGCCGTCAACTTCGCCAGCTCAGCCGACCACAGGTTTGCGGTCAAGATACGCTCGCGGGGGATCCAGTGCGCATACACCGACACCAAAGTCTCAATCGCCTTCCTGCCGCTCTCGGTATCTGCGCCGCCGACGAGAACCTGAGACAAAATACCACAACGAGAAGACGGATGTCAACTAGGCAGTTAGGGAAACATTACATCAGGACAACCACACATTTCCTATACACGCTGGGCACAAAAGAGAGGCCTTTGCCTCAGAACAAAAAAATGCCCGACATGAAGCTGCATGAAGACTCACGCGGTCCGGATGGCGCAGATCCTCCATGGCTGTTCCTTCCGCCAGGAACTCCGGGTTTGACAGAATCTCGAACTGCACGTTGGGGTCCTGGCAGTTCCGCTTGAGCACCTGCAACCATGCAGCCAGGTTAGTGCATGGCGTACGGATGAATCCATAATGCAATCTTCCTAAACAGATTGCACAGGCTTACCTTGCCAATAGCCTCGGCAGTCTTGACTGGAACGGTTGACTTCTCCACAACGATCTTGCTGCTGGTGGACACTGAAGCAATGAGACGGGCAGCACCCTCCCAATACGTTAGGTCCGCCGCCTTGCCCGCGCCAATACCATGTGTCTTGGTAGGCGTGTTGACACTGCAAGGACATAATACGCGCAAATGGGACTGTAAGTAAGCAAAAGAGCACGAGGGGCATTTAAAACACAGCAACAGCAACTCAAGGGGTTTTCGATATCCAACAAAACAGAAACTCCTCAAAAATCATAACGAACTGGGCTAATTGCATACGAGCCAAACAATTCTATCATCGGCGTTTCGAGGATTATCATCTGGAACCTGAGCAACAATAGCGAACAGGGGCCTAACCTGACGAAAACGATGTCAGCCTCGCCGACATGCTTCTTCGTGTCGGTAGAGAAGAAGAGGTTGCGACCGCGGCACTCCTTGACAACCTCGAAAAGCCCAGGCTCGTAAACTGTTCAACGTTCCATAGAACAAGCAGACCGTCAGTCACTCCAATGATCATAGACTGCCCTAGGACGCTTTAGCTTACTTGGAAGCTTATCGCTGTTCCACGCCTTGATACGCTCCTCGTTGATGTCAACGACAACAACCTGCGAGGGGAGTAGCGCTATTGCTTCAGCCGCGCCATGGATCGCCAACTGGAAGCCAGCTTTTGACCCACCTCAATTTCAGGGCACTTCAGCGCGACCATAGCCATGGTGGGGCCGCCCACATAGCCAGCTCCGATGCAAGCGATCTTCATATTTGCAGGTAACTAAACCCGACGAAGAAGTTGCAGATTGTATGAGCGGCGCAAATTCGTATGCCACACCACCACGATAATTTGCAACCTAAAGTGATTACTTCATAGTCGTCGCTGCAGCTTTATACGATTGACCAGGGAAGTTGAAGCGGGAAGTTGCGAAATGCCGTACCCTTCTGCGCAAATCAACGACCGCATGACGATGCAACGTCTATCCTGATCTGGCAGATTAAACTTAACCATATGACCGCTGCTAATAAACAGGCAAACGGGCCACTCCAACGGAATTGAAGCTGCATCGGTGGCACAACAGCAATAAACGCTACTTGCGCAACGAGCAAAGTTTAGGTTACAAAATTTAAGTTGACGCTGAACAAAACGTTCACCCGTGCTGCCTGCTGCTGGGATCCCTTTGACACAGCCGTTGTGCTGCCTGATGCATGTCATTTGTCAACAAGCTGTACCTGGCCGATGGACACAGCAAAAATCAAAATGACTTCTTGGTTACACTTCAGTAAGGTTAAATTATGGAAACAAAGCATGCACCAGTTGTCCAACAGGTGACATGCCTAGCGTCATAAGTCAAACGTCGTCAGTCACGATGCGAACAAATGCAGAATGTCAAGCAAGTGCCATCAAGCATCTAAGCGACAGCCGGCTGGGCACTCATAACCTCAGGCAATCCGACCCAATTGCACCCAGCACGGCTTCCTCGGCACCTTGACGCCCACCAAACGCCGCAGGTCGCATGGCGGCAACAGCCCCGCAGGGTCGCCGCTCTCACGCCATTCCTGGCAGGGCCAAACCACATGCAGAAAGGACAGCACGGGATTACGAAGGGCAAAACAAGCTAACCCACTTGCATCGAACCATACCACGTTCGTACACGTGCGTTCCAACCGCATCATATGGGACGCACACGCGAGTAACGTCGCACCACGGGTGTATTCCCAAATCTACATCTCATCTCAACAAGACCCATTCTTCCCCAAAGGCAACCTTGCGACCTCTCAAGCCCCCAAGCCGGCTCACCTGCATCGGCCCATCCAACCCATCGAACCAGCCAAAGCCCCATGCCATGGCCGACGGGCCCAGCAGGGTTGCCAAAGCAGCGTACAGAAAGCTTCCCCCCTGGACTGCTTGCAGCTGCGGATCTGGGTTAGACTCCGATGCCCCAGACGAAGCTGTTAGGGTCCGCTTCACATCCGCAGATCCCGTTCCGCGCTTCACGGTCTCAGCGAGCTTGCTCGGCGCCTGCTTCTCCGCCGTCCCATGGGCGCGGCTGGCGGCATCGCCATAGCTGAGGCTCATATCATATGACCAGAGCAACAGCTGCACCAGTAAGCCCAACTCATGTTCCGCAAAGAAACGACCCGGGCAGCGATATTGGCCGCCACCAAAGGCCAGCCCTGCGGCCATGGCGCAGTCATCAGTCACAGCCATGGTTCGCCATCGATACAATCCCGTGTTTTGCTGGGAAGAATGATTCATCCTAGCAAACCCTATGGTGACCCAGATCAGTGTCATTGCGCGTGTGCGTAGGAAACGAGGTAATGCACAGACATGAACACATTACCCAGTTAGCCGGCCATTCGTTACTCTTCAACCCCTGTGGCATGATTGGCCCGGTGCTCCACATTCTGCCGCCGTGTCATGCTGCACCCATCTCATTTCACAGGCTGCGAGCCACGTCATGCCAGAGAGCTAAACTCACAGCTTGGCCGCCTTCGTCACATGCGCCATTGTGTCCGTGTGGAACCCATTGCGGCAGCTTATACGCCTAGAATGGCGTATTCCCAGGTGGGCTCCCAGGCGGGTTTACCCAGCTTTACACACCGGCCCCGGCCGTGGCCTCTCTAAATGAAACGGACCACGCTAAGCCGACCTTCCCATCATGTGCAACCTTCCTGTTTATTCACATCAGTTCATTCCCACCCATCCCCCCTCTCCCATCCACTCACCCGCCACGCTCGGTAGCACAGCGCTGCCGTCGCCCAGCCTCACCTCAGGCCTGCAGGGATCATAGACCCATGGGTCACTCCCCACGGCCTCTCCGCTGCGCTCCACTGCCCCGCACAGCTTCTTGTCGTGGTGACTTTCAAACGGACACACCGCCAGCAGCCGACCTCTCGGGAGCTGCAGCCGGGCCCCCTCCCCCGACTGAGAGGGCAAGTCCAGCGGGGCGGCCGCTTGGCGCACGTCAATGCTCTGAACCCGCAGGCGCAGCGCCTCAGCCACACAGCGGCTCACTGCAGAACGACGATTGGCCGCCAGTCGTGTTGCAGCAGCCACGAGCTCCGACCTGGAAGGCTGGACTCGTGGGCTAGCTGTATCCGCGCTGGATGAGCCCTCGACGGCCGCTGCACGGCTGTCGGCCCCCTCAGGACCTGCGTCGTGGGATCACTCAGAATAAAGAGGGATGCCGGCTGGGTGAGTGGCGCAGGGGTCAGGTAAGCCCACCACGGACGTGTTGGGCCCGTAGGCCCGAGTGCCCGCTGATGACTTGGACTCATCAACCAGCCAGCCAGGTAGCAAGGCAGCTAGCTAGGCAGACAGAAAGCCAGCCAGGTAGCAAGGCAGCTCTCCGACCTTATTCGGCCCCCAAACGGGACAACGTGGAGATGCGGGGCACAGGCGGTCGAGGGGTTACCTGTGCAGCACTGTACAGGCTGTGTCTGTTCGAGGGAGTCCTGACCTGACCTGATCTGACCCGACCCACATGGACGGCAAAGTTGAGAAGTTGAGGTGCAACCAAATGTGCGGAGAGCGACAACACACTTGGCCCCCGGGAACTGTCCTCCATTTCGCCAGACCCCAGGCGGCTTACCCCCCGTGGTGGCTGCGGCAGCAGGTCCCCCCGCGCTCAACACCTTGGATTGCAGCTCCCGCTACAGAAAAGCACAAGCAGATGGACAGACAAACAAACACACAGATCAGTCAGCAGGGTCAACAGGGGCCGCAGCAACACGGCATGAAGGGAAGTTACAAAGACACAAACCAAAGGCCCGGCATCCATGAACATACATACATACATATCTAGGGTTGGCACTCATCTAAAGTCGTTTTTCTAATCTAATTATTTCTCTTGAGAATCTCATTGAGAATTTAGAAGGTCTTTTTTGGCACTTGAGGAGACGCTCATCTTCATCCGCCAGAACGACAGCTACGCGGCCAAGCGCAACGCCCTGTCAGATGAGGAGGTGGTGATGCAGCTGCTGGCCGGGGATGAGGAGGAGTGAAGTAGCTAGGGATTCAAGTTGTTCGGTCGGCATTGGTAGCAGTCTATGTCTGCTGAACTTGGCCAGCATGGGATCTTGATGGCATACCATGTCGGCTTTTGTGCATTGCCAGGGCTTAGGAATGATGATCTGGGCCCTGATTCGTTGAAACCTTAACCCTTAGGATATGGAGTTAAAGAAGCATCAAAGGGATAAGCGCCTGTGACGTGTACTCGACCGTCCAGTGCGCCCTCGCATGCTTTGACCCATGGGTCAATACTGCGGCGGAGTATAATGGCTTGTTTCTGTCGTGCAATTGTGCTTCGCAACGTCCCAAAACTTAATCATTATAACAAATATACCATACAGAATCATCCTACAAAGTTTCAGAGCCAGTCATGCATTTCCCAGAAAGCTGCCAAAACTTGAGATTAGAATCTAACCCATTCTATTGAGATCTAATGAGATCTCAATAGATTGAGATGAGAAGACTTCCGCTTCTAAACCCAGGGGATACCCTATACATATCCGTTCCAATTTGAAGAGCTCCAGACTGTGGCCGGGGCAGGAAGCTTAGGGGCCGACATTTTCCCCGCTGAGCCAGTTTGACCCGCTAACACGTAACAGCCCACTCCGAGGATGTATGAGGGTACACGATGACATGGCCCGCACACATACAAACACACACGCGCGGGATACCTCCAGCTCCGAAATCACCGAGGCCTTGTGAACCGCATTCTCGGGAAGCAGCAGAAACGCGGTCGACCAAAAGACGGCTGGGATCGTATTGGCCTGCGCAGTCACGAACATGGTGGTGCGAAGACAGTGAGAGACATCGTGCACACAGTAATGCTCGTGGACACGGGGCGTGGGGGTCCTGGGGCGTTTCGGAAAACTCCTCTACATTACCAACACAACACAAACCCAAGCGAACACGGGACAGGGACGGTAACTACCCCTGGTGCACAGTCAAACTGCCCTGGTGCACAGTCAAACTGCTCTGGTGCACAGTCAAACTACCCCGGTGCACAGTCAAACTGCCCTGATGCACAGTCAAACTACCGTGGTGCACAGTCAAACTGCCCTGACGCACATCAAACTGCCCTGATGCACAGTCAAACTGCCCTGGTGCACAGTCAAACTGCCCTGATGCACAGTCAAGCCACCAACCTATCATGCAATCGAAGTTCCCCCAGTCTCTGCTGCCTATCCCATCCGCAACCTGCCTATCCCCCCTAGCGCCCCGCCGTCCCGGCCGCTGCCACCCACTCCCTCTCCTGCATTCCCCCCCAATTCACACCACCGCCCCACCTGGGACGCCCATATCAGCGCAAGCAGCATGTTGGGTCGTAGCTGTGCACATGAACCCGTCGTCCTGCACATCGACAACGTGGCACGTGAGGCCGGGGACGGGACCGGAATGAAGAACCGGAGCTGACCCTCCGGACTTGCAGTGGAGCGTGGCGGGGAGTGGCGAGGTCGAGTGCACAAGTACCCGATGGGGGGGTGGGTAGGGTGGGTTTCAAAGTCCATCGGTCGTCCGGCAGGTGGGTGGAGTGAACGCCCTCAACCTTTGCAAACATCCCCCCCCACATACATGCCCATCCGTCTGGCGGAGTCACCACACGCTCTCCCATCCTCTCCCCCCCTTCCTCTCCCCACTTCCCCCCCTCCACACCTGTCCAGCATCTCCCCTGCCGGGGTGCCCTGGAACAGTCCCCGCCTGTCTGCCGCCAGGAACACACGAAGCAGCTCAGAGCGGGACTTGACGAACTCAGGCAGGAAGGCATGGGGCAAGGGGGAGGTGGCCAGCTGCGCGGTGGGGGGACAGGGGCAGTCGGGGCTGTCACCGGTTGTCCATGCGGATGTGGGGATGCAGATAACAAGGGAAAACTAAGACCTGAGACACGGGCAAGGTGCCAGCTAGCCGTCAGGCACGCAGACGTAACCCCCTGCGAGGGCCCCCGGGGGCCGGGTCCCGGAGGGTAGAGCGCGGGAGCTACTGGAAAACACTGAAGTTCACCATAGAGGCGATGTCCTGATTGCTGAGAACGGAGGGTACATCCTCGCGACCTGAACTCACGTCCTATCTCCGGATAGGTGTGTCTCCGTGTCTTATCTTTAATCAGGTTATAACCTGACATTCCCTCCCTACCAGCCCTACCGCCCCAGATCACCTCGAACTGGTCCTCAAACGTAAAGAAGGTGCGAGCCAGCCATTCGACCCCCGCAGGTGGCCGCGGCGGCAGGCCCCCGTGCTGCTGCTGTTGCTGCTGCTGCCAACCCTCGATAGTTCCTCTTAAGGCCTCTCCCAGCTCCCCTGCCGCTGCCGCCACCGCCGCTTCGCCGGCTGCTTTTAAGAACCCCTGCCGCTGCTGCTGCCCTGCCATTGCTGCCGTACCGGCAGCCGTAGCGCTGTGTCTTCCCCTCAGCTCCCCCTCCTCTTTCTCGTCGCCCACTGCGGTTGCCGCTACTGCCGACGCCTCCTGCAGCCCCAGGAGCTCAGGCAGGTGGTCCACGAACCGGCGGCCGAAGACGGACTCCACAGCGCAGTGAAACACCAGACTGCGGCACAGCGAGCACAGGTCCACCTTCGTGGGGGGGGAAAGGGGGGGTTTGGTTTCAGGGTTTTAGGGTTAACACGTCACGCGCCTGACCACGCGCAATCGGAGGATAAAATTGCTGTTCCGCGTCTTAGCGACTTTCCTGGGTGCTGTGTTTCAATGACCCCACCCCACCTCCCTCCGCACCAAGGTGAATCCCCGCTCCAACCAAGTTTCCCAGAGCCCCCTCCCCTCCCTCCCCTCCCACCGCCCTTCCAACCCTCGCCCACCTGGTCGTGGTGTACGTAGCTGGGTAGCAGCTGCAACGCGCGAGTGCCCAACGACTGCAGACGTGTGTATGTACGTATGTATGTAAAGGAGGAAGGGGGAGGAAGTTCGGGAAGGTGAGGAGGGGTTCATATCCGTGGTGGTAGAGGGGGCGTAAATTGGTAAATAAGTAGCCCAAGGTTCCCGGTGGGCAGGGGGGAAATGAGAGGCGGTGAGGTGGGTGGGGAAATTGCAGGGCAGGGACTTGGTGAAAAGGCTGTGGCGCAACAGCGTAGGTGTGAGGGGCGTGGGCTGGATTTCGATGGCGAGATGGAGCATCAGGGAACTAGGCGGGGAATCATATATGCAAGAAGCAACGGATTACCACCGTCCGCGACATTGAGGTCTGGAACAGGGATTGAGAACTGAGGCGGGGCATGTGCGTCTGCGTGTACATGCATAACATATGATATGAAGTGGGCTGGACGGAATCCTTAGGAAGCAACCGCGCACGGACCCGGGCCGAGATGGTGTTGCGACATGAGCGACAGGGCATCAAAGGTGTCGGGGGGGGAGGAGCTGTGCGAACGAAAAGACCAACAAGATCTAAGTAAGGAAAGGAAGAAGCAATGACGGAAAGCCAGCCAAGTCTAGCGCTATCGCGCGGGTGGGCTTTCCAGTTCCCGCAACTCAGCTGCCCCTCCCTCCCCCTTTTGCACCCACGCCCGGTACCTTGAACCCTCTCTCTTTGGCGAATGTGGTTTCGCTCCCTTCACCCCTCAGCCCCCCCAACCCCCAACCCGAGGTTACAGTCGTCACAGTCGCCATGGACGCCTTTCGGTCAGTTCTTTCGGTTGCTACTTTCTTACCCTGGCAGCAGCTTAAATCGCGTGTGGTTCGTCTTTCCCCCCAACCCCCACACCTGCATGTGATCAGTCAGCATGGCTGGAACCAGCAGCTCCCGTAGCTCCTTCAGCATCTGGCGACAGATATGACAGACAAACCGACAATCGTGGCATACAGACGTACAGATATGAAATTTCAGACAAACAAAGACATACATACAGACCAAGTTAGACATGGGGAGCCCACATCGGGGCGGTGAGAGGGTCAGGTGGCTCTTGAGATCTGTCCAAATCATTGCGACGGAGCTGCCATATCCCGTGAGATATGCGAAGGGTAAGACTAACCACTGGCGAATGAAGCAAATACCAGGGAGATACACGGATATAGTCCAGAAGAAGATACATGCTGCATCGGGAATGTGTGTGGAGGGTAACGCAAATCCAGAAGGTTTAAAACAAACACAAGTGATAACTCGAACTCACAACCCCACCCACAACCCGCACGATGGTGGGCGGGAAAACATATCACACGGCCGTCGGACTTCCCACAACTCTTGTGACACCTCCTCCTGGCGGGCTTTACAACAGCGCAGTTGGGCTGAGTGAGGTGCAGCTTCCTTTCCCGGTACCGGGGCCCCCGTTGTTTCTTTTCCTTCCCGGCTGCTGCCTGGGGCCCCGGGAAGCAGCAGACCCCCAGACACACCTTGGAGTGCAGCGGGAAGAAGACCCGGGAGGTGAGTCCGAACACTCGCTGGGTGAACTGCTCTATGGCGGGCCTAGGGCATTGCCATCGGGCCAATGGGAAAGTGAACGGGCGACGGGAAGTGCAGTACGATAATGACAGGGCTCAAGAGGGAAGGGCTGGGAGAGGAGGGGGAAGGGTGGGGAGGCGTGGGAAAGCGCATGACGATGGATAAGCGGATGTACGGCGGGGGGTGGAGGACGGGAGGAAATTGCGGCACATGGGCCCATGTATGTGGGTCTGGATGTGGGGGGAAGATACCCGCGAGGAGGGGGTGAAGGAGAAGGGCGTGGAAAAAGTGGCCCCGCGGATACGCCATTCCCAGCCTATCAGTAGGTATCAATCAGTTTGACGAGAAAAAACGGTCACGTCGCAGCCAAAGTTTTTCTCTAGGGGATAACCACAGACATCCACAGTTGCATGTACGGGCAGGCAAAGTAGAAGACGCCGCAGGACCGCAACAAACATACAGCTGTACGTAAGCCTTTCCTTTACAAATTCAAAAGCCCATAATATACACCCTTTTGCCCGGCCAACCTGAACGTGACTTTTTCATCAGGAGCTGAGAAAAAATAATGGATGTGCGACGGCTCGAACAGAAACGTCATCTTGACACCAGCTAGACTCAATGTAAAACTATCACCGAACTGAGGGATTGAAATTGTCACTTCATGTTAATGGCGCACTATGTTACAACAGTGTCACGTATGCGCGTTTCTTGTGTACCTTCCGCCTGCATTTATTGATATATGAGACTCCATGGCGGCCAAGAGCGAGCGCATTGCCAAGAATAGGCAACCCAGGCACCAGTGCTGCATCGTTCTTGCCCTGCCGACTCCATACCAGCGAGCTGAAAGCTGCCACTACCAGTATCGCCCCGAAGACCACAGCGAACCAGACCGATAGCTGTGCAGCTAGGAGGTCCGTAACGAACATTGTGAATAAATATTTATGCCCGTTTTAAAATTGCAAGACGTTAATGATTTAGGACTGGGGTTTGGCGCTTGCAACAGTCGAGACCTAGATACGAGAGATAAGCAACATCAATGGCATGGACTGGCTCAAGTAAGACCATGGGATACCACAAACAATCCGACGATTTTCGCAGCCAGCTTCTAACAGGTCAACCGTCAACGAGTAATAGATGCCGTACCCGCGTGCACTCGTCGTCAAGTATTTGACTCTGCAGAGGGCAAATTGCCTATTAACGCGCCTCCCGGAGATTAAACTCCGACGCTCCTTTGTCTAATGAAGCATAGCGTTTGCATGATTACCTGCCACATTTGCCAGCGCAGCACAAAAAGAAACCGCCTTCCCGCCTTTAGTCTCGCCTTCACTGCCTCCTAGATGCCTCCCCCCGACTCTTTCCGCAAATTCGACTCATCAGCAGTACCCAGCTTTGAGGGCAACCCCCTCGGTCATCACCGCGAAGCACAGCATTTCCCTCGGCCCCCCCAGGTCCGCACTCAGAGGCGCTCCGGGTGCCTCTGAAGCCCGAGTGCCGGGACCCAGCTACTCAGCCGAGAAGGGGTATACGATACGCTTCCACGCGAGCACACCTCAGCACCTGCAATCATCTTCCTCGCCTTAGCGAACTCTCCTCCTGCAAGGGCGCCCCGATCGGTAGCATCGGCGTCCTTGAATTAACTCGATGGTTAAGTAAATCCATCAGGGCATCTCGGTTGTAAACATGCATGGAAAATGTCATTTCCGCGGTACGCGCCGCAACATAACAACCTTGCATTTAAATTAACTCTCTTGCATGTTACTAGGCATTCTGCTAGCTTGCCTCCAAGCCATTTCGCCCACAGGCGCTGGAGTTGTGATGCCCCCTGGATGCGGCACTTCTTGGCCACTTTGTCCGCTGGTGGTCGCGGCTGACACCGCCTTTGGACAGCTAGCTTCCACGTCCACCAGCGCGAGGTGGTCTCCCGCCACGTGCATCAGGGGTTGGGTGCTGAATATGCCTGTCACTTGCAGAGGCTCGCCCCTATAAGGTCCGGGAGATGTATCGGGTGGTGCTCCCGGGCGTCCTGGACTGCCGCTGGTACCAGCCAAAGGATCCATTCGTTTGTCGTGCTTTCCTCAGGTTGGGACCTGAACAAGAGTTGTGACAAGGAATGAGAATTTTGACGTTTGTGCCTAACAATTTTACCAACGGTTGCATTGCGGGAAGGAAAAATGTCGGAAAGGCCTTTTGGGGTGATCCGGCACGAATGACGGCATCACAACCGCTGCTTCACAACCAGGCTTCGGTATACGTTTCTTTGATCCGGAAGTCCTAAAAGCTAAGCATCCGGCACACACGAAGGCGCACACGACTACTACACAAAAGACTTGAGAAGTGTCCTTAAATAAGCGTTTCGCAAAGCCATCGCACTAAAATGCAGCTGTCCCAGGGCTTCAAAGCGCTTTTGCGGCAGTCCGCGCTGGCCCAGCCGGCGCAGCAGCAGTTGGGTACATGTGCTGCGGCGGCTCGCAAAAACTCAATCAGCAGCAGCGCCACAAGCGGCAGTTCGCAAGAGGGGGAGTCAACGGAAGGCCAGGCGCCGATGCCCAACTTTAACAGCGCATCAGGTGCGACCTCGTTTTTCCCTGTAGTTGTCCCGGCAGCTGCTCCGCCTTTCCTAAAACTTTACCTCTTTCACATTGTTTCAGTTTACCGCAATCATCGCCATCATGACTACCCATTTCCGCGTCAACAGGGAGCTCCCTGAACACAGGAAATTCCCTTTACGTTTACCATGAATTCTTGTGTGGCGCAGTGTTGGTCATGAGCATGTTTGGTGTCAAAGCAAAAATTCGATTCTTAAGCAAAATCGGGCCCTGCGATCCACGGGTCACTGCGTTATCATCCGAGTCCAATCATGGCGACCTGGACGGATGATCCCATCCCATTCAAAAAGGCCTTTAACAATTCAGGTAGACATGTACATGCACGCATAACGTAAGCAACGGCCGATCATCGCGTATAGGTGACGGCGGCGTCCTCCTTTGTCAAGCCGTACGCCCTCTCCTCGCATCTGTGCCTGTTTTTCAACCCTTTTTTCCTACGTGCCGTACATGCACTACTTCCCTCCCTCCCACCCTCCCTCCCCGCTCCCACCCTGCCCTACCCCCCCAGGCACGGAGGACCCGCGAGATGTTGCCGCCCGCGTGGGCCGCACCACCGGCTCCGGAACCGGTCCGGTGGAGCTGAAGAGCTGGGACGCCAGGGAGGGGGGAGGGGGGACTGAGAACGACAACGAGTGCCCGGGAGGTTACTCCGGGCCACAGGTGGGCCGGTGGGTCGGTGGGTCGGTGCGCGGCGACTCCGCAACAGTGGAGTGCGGCCCAGGGCATAATCCCAAACATGTTTCAAGCCATCGAGTCATCCGACCGAGTGTGATGCCTAACCGGTCCCAACTAGAAAGTCACAGCGGCTACCAGGCGCGCATGTCCCCGACACGTGTAGCGAAAACGGCCTCTCCCGAACGGCGTCTCCTCCCCCTCCCGCCGACGAATCCAATCGATCCGACCGGTCCGAGGGCGGCGGTGAATCTCTGGGCGGCACGGTCCCCCCACCGGCCCCT